GCAACACATTGAATCGTAAACCCTTGTATCACAAAACATATTTTATCCCCAGATAGGGTAGTGTTGGTCTAATGGATAGTGAGGTGGGCTGAAGGTCGGAAGATTGTGAGTTCAAATCCCGCCTGGAACACCACCACTAGTGTGCCCTTGAGTAAGGCACTAAGCCCTTAGTTTCTCCAGGGAGAATGTCCCTGTAATTGGTCATTGTAAGTTGCTTTGGATAAAAGCGTCAGCTAAATGAAATGTCATGTAATTCTTGGCAATACACACAATCACACATGTAAATCTGGAGGAGGCAATATGAGGACACTAGGATACTTTTGGGAACCGTGAAAGGTTGTACACAATTTTGTGGCTGTGGAGAAGAAAGAAAATGTACAATCCTTGAAGAGAGTCTTCCACTGAACCGCTCCACACTCCCCTGTGCTTGAGTGGGCTGATGATAAATGAACACACTGTAGGGCGGTACATTACTCAGGAGTAAAGCCACACACACACACACACACACACACACACACACACACACGATCCACATTCACACACACCTTTACAAGAGCTAGATAATAGTCTTTTGTTTTAAAGAACAGAGCGTGCTGAGACTTTGAGTGGTGACAAAGATAAGAACAATTTGAGTCCAGGCTGCAAGACACACCGGCGATTTAACGTGAATCTCAAACACAGCCACAGAAAACGTTTGCAGATGTGTAACTGTACAATAATAATTGCCAAACGTCATTACAAAGGTGAATTTGATATGAGGCAATTGTCCTTTGTTTTCTATGAACCACGCATCGCAGTAATCATGTTAGAAAATGCATAGGTGATAGTGATATTCCTGCAGTTATGGTCCTGACCTGTCAAGAAATAAAATCCTAAGCCTTCTTTGCCCAAGACTGTTACAAGACTGAGTAAAACCACACCCTAAACCAAAACTGAGTAGATTAAAGGCTGGTTTCCAGAGCAAGATTGTTTCACTAGTTTCAATGCAATTGTTTAATCGAATCAAACCAAATCAAGTTTTATTTATATAACACATTTTTTAAATGATTTTTGGTCGAGCCAAAGTGCTGTACATACAATAAAAACACTTTACAACAAATACAACAGCACAAATAAAAAATCACACAGAGGGAAATGTCAGGAGTCGTGCTCCGCTCACACCAGAAGGCCGGAGAGAAGAAGTGAGTTTTAAGTGTAGATTAAAAAACCCCTAGAGTCTGGGACGACCTCACATGGAGGGGGTTTATATCTTTGTCTACTTGTTGTAAAATTATAGATACGCAATGTTGTCTTGGAACACTGTAAAACAAAGTATTTTAATAAATGTAAAGACCCGGTGAGCGTAGTGGAGCATTTACTAGAATTAAAGCCTGATATTTTCTTCAGAAGCTGGAGGAGACCAAAAGCAGCTGGAAGAAGAGTTAATTTTAGACACAAAAATCCAAATAAGTGCTAATGTTGCTCAGTGTGTGCCGGATGTGTAAGTTCGAAGCAGGTGAACACATTTTAATTTCACGGTAAAAGGATTTCAGAGGACTCAATGGCTCGAGTGTGTATTTGAGGATGAAACAGATATTCATTTTTAATATAACATATAAGAGTTCGTTTTTAACCTCCAAACTTCACCTGTCTTTTCTTCCCTTCCCCCTGGCCTAATTTGAAACAGTGATTAATTGCCGTCGCTGGAGGCACTTAATGTAAGTAGGAAGACAGATTTTTCTTTTGTTTAACCATAAATTACATAGCTGATGGTTCACTGATGGATTAACTACCCTGCTTTCTGTATGTCATCCCAAAAAGAATAGTGATCATAAAGAAAACAATATTGACGTACGTTGGAAGAATAATAATGACCTTAATATCTTTGATTGATTTACTCCTCTTCTTTCTATGTGTTATTTATACCATTTTCATCCTTTTCAGACAAAATCAGCCACCCACATATTGATTCATATAAAATGAATTGTGGAAACAGCTGCTGGATCCTTGTGTTTTACAGTAATGTGCTTTCCATTAAAGATAATCTGTGAACCAGTGGCATCATTAGTCATTCATTAAGGCTTGTTTCATTGCCTCTGTTAAACACTGTAACCACAGCAGCTGTCGGATACATTAGAGAAAAGCGGTGCTCACCAACATGGGAAATGTCATTACAAAGGCAACTGTTGTGTTGAATATCCTCATCTTCCAGGAGGAGGAGGGCAGAGATAATCAATAGGACAGAGGTGTTGAGTTATGAACTGACAAGGAGAATCCTTCACTTAGAAGTTGCTCCCTCCAACATTTTCCCACTCCTCGTTCCTGCTGTGAGACTCTGATCTGAATGTCGGCCTCCATCTGACTTGCACCCGAGAAATCCCATCAAAACTATCAGATCTGCAAAGGTCGAGGTGGAAAGAATCGTTTTCTAGAAAGTGTCACGCAGATTACAAATAACAGCTTCATTGATCACAAAGGATGGTCCTCCCAAGTCTGGGATTTACAGGAAATGCAGTTACATCATTATTTGATGAATGGCAACGCAAGGTGAGTTTACTGATTTAAAACATTTCAACAATTGAAAATGCTTTAAACTGTACATCATTTTAACTTCAAATCTGGATACAAGGCACATAGATATATATTAATATTTATATAGCTCTTAAAAATTTCTCTATAGCCTAATGCTTTATAATAGTTTTAAAATAGCTTTTAAAAAAGCTCTATATTTGCTACTTTTCTACAACTTAATTCCTCTTATTTTGTTCATTAATGCACCATTATACACCAAAGTGAATTCCATGTATGTGAAAACTTACTTGGAAATAAACATGTTTCTGATTCTGACCGAAAACTGTTAAAGGTCCCATGACATGGCCATTTCTACTGATCATAATTCCATTTTTGAGGTCTACTAGAATAGATGTATATTGTGCAATTTTCCAAAATCGCATTGGTTTCTCAGACAGCATCTCTGTATAGTATGTGTATTCACTCTCTGTCCTAAACGGCATGTTGGAGCTCCTGCCCCCCTCCCTGTGAGCCCAGTGGCCGTCTGCGAGACAGCGAGACACAGCGAGACCCAGCCCCAAACACACACTCACCCGCAGCCTGGCTGGGAGTTTGTGTGAGT